GGGGAGAATGGGCTCCTTCTCCCCCATCCCGGCTGCCGCGTTGCCGAAACGCAGCTGCTCGGAGGGGAACAGGCCACCGCAGGGAGGGGGAGAAGGGATTAAAACACTAAAGGGGGTGAATTTTCCCAGCAGCTGGTTGAGCATCACCCCAGGCAGGGGGACACAAAGCTCTGGCTGTGGGGTTGTCACCACTCGCTCACCTTCTGGATGCGGCTCGCCTTCTCGGCGCAGCTCTCCAGCTCTCGCCGCAGCTTCTCGCTTTCCCGTTGGAGCCTCTCGTTCTCCCGTAGGATGGCGTCCACCCGGGCCAGGCGGCTGCTGGCCGAGACCGCCTGGGTGCTCACCAGTGCCTCCACACCGGCGTGCCCCGGCGCGCCCGGGCACAGGGCACCTGGTGGTGGCAGGAAAGCAGTGGGGACGTGGGTGGGCAGCACTCTGTGGGAGGGAGGAGAGGGATGCTCAAGGGGCTTGGCAGGGCAGGAGAGCTGACCACATCTCCAACGTCCCACCGATCGCTCTGAATCCATGAGCTGAGTGGGTGCTGGTGCTTTAGGTGGTCCCAAAGGAGGAGGGAGGCTCTGGGAAGCCCCTTTCAGGAACAATTTATTCACTGAAAGGGTTCTGAGGCATTGGAAGGGGTTGCCCAGGGCAGTGGTGGAGTCCCCATCCCTGGAGGGATTTAAAAGACAGGTGGATGAGGTGCTCAGAGATATGGTTTAGTGGTGGACAGGTACAGTTGGATTCGATGATCTCAAAGGTCTTTTCCAACCAAATGATTCTATGATTATATCCTGCTTTTCAGAGCTGGAAAGCTTTTGCTTTCTAAAAAGTGCTTGTCCAAGAGCCCTCAAATATGAGATAAACCCCATCTCACAGGGTTGCCTTGAGCTGACAACTCCAGGACCTGGCTGGTGGGTTAGGATGGGCTTCCAGCCCCTCTAGGCCCACCCTGTTCCTGGGACACTGCAGACAGACGACAGCTTGGCCAAGGATGCACCTCAGAAGCCGACAGCACTGCCCTTTTTCCTTGTTTTCTGGGCAAAGTGAGCGCTCCTGGCACGGCTCCTCCCCACCAAACCATGAACACATCCTGGCTGTCCTCAGAGCAGCAGGGCCAGCCTGGTCACCCCTCACACGGCCACTCTGAGTTCCTCGAAACCCCATGGCTGCCTGGAATACCCTGAGCGGGGCGGCAATGCCCAGCCCAGCCCCGCTCCACCACAGGCTGCCCGCCCAGGGCCTGCCTTCCTGCGGGCTGATATAGGAGCAAGGAAGAACAAATACATCTTCCTCGCGGCTCCCCTTCCCCTCTTTGTTCCCTGGAAGGAGAATGTTTTCCTGCAGAGATGCTATCGCTCTCCGCCTGGATAAGTCAGCAGGGCAGGGAGCAGCGTGCGGCCTCCCGTTGAGCCTCCAATTCCCTTCTTCCCTTCATTTTCCATACTGGAAAAAGTTGCTTCCAGCCTTTCCCAAATGCCAGGCAATGCCTGGACCTCTGGGATCCCCAGACCTTTCCATGGTCCTCTTGAAGACTACCTGGGGCACTTTGCCAGAGGTATCAAACTGCCCAAGGGAAGGGGAAAGCTGCCCAGTGCTGCTCATTGCCTCAGCCAACCGCCCCACGCCAGCCCGGGCTCAGCAGCAATCCCGCAGCACAAGCAGCGAACCGGTGTTATATGGACGTTCCCAGCTCAGGACCACAGGGTGGGTTTCCAAGGAGTGGGGAAAGCATTTGCTTTCCACCCTAGACCATGCCTGTTCCACATTTAGCTGTTTCCTGAGCTGGTTCCAGCTCTTAAATTAACCCCAAATTCCTCCTGGCACATGGGGAGGGGGCAGGGTCTGTCAAGGTAGCAGGATTTTCATCACCAGTTGGGAAAACCCAGCTCTGCTGGGGGAAACTGGGGAGAAGAAAGGACCAGAGGGGTCCCTGAGCTGGATTCAGCCCTGTGAGGTTTGTCAACAGCTGCCCCAGGCCCCCCATCGCTCTCCACATCCCACATCTTCCAAGCATCCATCCCGGCCACTCCTGGGGCACCATGGCTGGGAGGCACCTGGTGAGCACCCAAAAAGTGGAGCACAGGGACCACGGTTACCTGATTTCGGGGTGCTGGAATCCAGAACCTTCCCGGGAGCGGGGTCGAGGTTCGGCCAGGTAAGCGTCCTGGGAAGGGATGATGTAGGGATACTCTGGGGGGGGTCCCCGCAGCTCCGGCCCCTCGAGGTGTTGCCCTCGCAGGGCAGCAAGCTGGTGGTGGTGGGAGAGCTGGGGGTAGCTGTGGGAGGCACTGATGGGGCTCTGCGCTTTGGCCCCGTTCCTCTCCAACGACATCCGCATCAGCCGCTCGCTCAGCGACCGCACGTGGCCATGCTTCAGGTCCTTCAGCCCCTCATCAGGGCATCGGGCGCCGCTCTCAGCCCCGCGTGGGCTGTTTTCACCCCAGATCCCTGGGCTGGCTCCTCCGGGTTGCTGCCCACCCCGTTGCGAGGCGTAATACTGGGAATGAGCCTTGGCCTCCTCGTAGGTGGGGAGCTCCTCGCCCTTGTGCTGGGGATGGCACAGCTGATAGACGCTGTTCTCCAAGTAGACGTGGTCAGAGTGATGCTCCTGGCCCTGGGGTTCCTGCCGCGTGGATTGCTGCACCATTTGGTTCTCCTCCGGGCTGAGGCTCTCCAGGGAGGAGCGAGGGCTGCCAGTACCACCAGCACCACCGGTACCAGCACC